CCCTGCGCAAGGATGACACGCAAATTCGTGAAGCGTTCCATATTTTGCTGCTCTACTCTGGACTCTCCCGAGCAGGGAAAGGGAGGCTCCACAAGTGAAGCGACTCTCCCTTTGGAGGCCCTTCCCCGATTTTCAGGTCCTCCCGCGGGCTGCAGGGGAGGGCAGGAGGCTTCGGGCCGGGGCAGCCCGCGGGCAGGGGGAAAGGGTCCTCGTGCAAGTGGCTGCACCCTCTGGGACCCCGGGCCTCCGGCGTCCGTGCCAGCCACGTGGACTTCCGCGATTTAGTGTCTGCCCTTAAAACTCTCAGGATGCCTGTTAAACGGGCCCCCGCACACCCAAGCGCCCAGACCTGGCCCGAGAGAAGGAACCAGGCTCTGCTCCGTGCAGAAACACACAGGCCTAGCTGGAGCATCCCGGGGCTCGTGTATAAAAACCCCACAACGATGGGGGTGCCTCAGAGAGACCCAAGGCTGCGAGGGCCAAACCTGGACCGTGACCAGGATAAATAATACCGGATGGCCCACCGAACTAGAAAGTAAATCTTCATGTGTCCCAAATGGTTGCATAAGTGAACGCCTGGGGGGGAAGAGACAAATGTCCCTGCAGCATTCTCAATAATTAACATAGATCTTCTGTCCTCAGGGAGGTGGTTCCCAGCCCCCAGTCCTCTGTGTGGGGGGCACGCAGTAACGCCTCCCGGCCAGGATAGTGTGGCGGGGAAGGAGCTTCCCAGTGTGGAACCCCACCAGCACCCCCGACCGGGAGACCAGGCTCAATGTCAGCAGTGAGGAGCCTCGTGGGCAGCGGGGCCCCCAATGTGATGGCACCAGCGAGACACTTCCCTCAGCGTCTGAACCCCCCGCTGGGTTCATCCTGCAGGACACTGGGCCAATCCCGGACACACACAGGGAGGCCACGTGAAGACGCAGGCAGGGGCTGGAATGAGGTGGCCACAGGCCAAGGAATGCCAGGGACCCCCAGAAGCTCGAAGAGGCAAGAAGGCCCCTCCCCTGGAGCTTCACAGCCCTGCCACAGGTTGGGTTTCAACTCCGGCTTCCAGGACTGGGAGACAAGAAATTCCTGTGGTTTTAAGCCACAGCTGGGGTACTTTGTCCTGGCCACCCCAGGACGATCACACAAGTGACTTTTTGGACGGTGGGCAGCTGGGAAATGGTGGAGCTGGGGTTGGAACGTGGGCACCTGGGAAGGGCACGAGCCAGGCGGCAGAACCAGTGGCCTCTCCCTGCACGCCTCCTCAGTGTAAGGCTTCATCCCCAGGCTTTCGGCCCTCAGCGACTGAGACTCCACGCATCCTGAGCACCTCTGTGCACCTGCCCCCCCCCCCAGCCATACCCCCAAGGAAAGCCCCACAGCTGGAGACCAGAGACCAGAGCACCAGAAATTTATTGAACTCTCCACTTTTCCCAAAGCACGGCTAGACACACACACACACACACACACACACACGGGAGGGTCCCCCAGCCCTGCTCTTGTGGGACATGCCAGGGTGGCCAGTGAGAGGTCAGCCCAAGGCAACAGGCCAGAGCTAGGCTAGGGGAAGGGCAAAGGGACACGGACAGGGGAATGGGGCAGTCCTAGGGCAGAGGCTTCTGGCTGGAAGTCCTGATCCCGCAGGATGAAGGGAGGAGGGGTGTAGAGCAAATGGGGCCCCAAGAGCCACCAAAAGCCACCCGTGGAGGACAAACATGTTCCAAAAGGGTGGCAAGACCAGCCTTTAAGATGCAGCCCCTGTCCTAGGGCGTGGGGCACACGCGCAGGCGCACACGACAGAACACACCTGGAAAAAGGGGTGGAGCCCCAGGCCCCCCCCTCCCCCACATCCAAGCCAAAAGCTGGGGGATGGGGGAGGATCAAACAGGGACTGGAACAAAGTCCCCCGATTTATCAGTTGGGGCAAGTTTTTGGTTTTTCTTCCCAAAAGGGAAATTTAAAAATCTACAACAAATCATGCCAAATTCATTAAAAGTGATAAAAACCCAGCCTGTCGCTCCTTGCTTAAGTTTCAGACGGGACCGAAAAAGCTGAACGAAGAAGGAACACGGAAGTGACCAGGCCGGGTCTCCTCGCTCAAACTCAAGTCCCGGAGCGGGGAGCTGCAAGGCCAGGACAGTCCGGTGTGGGGGGCCAGGGCCCCGCGTTTATCTGGGAGAGGCGGGCTGGGAAGGAGTCAGAGTGATAGCCCCTCCCCCCCCCCCCCCCCCCCCAGGGGTAGAGCACGTCTGCAGGGACATATCCTCCAAATAATAAAGATACTTTAGCGAATGGCACGGGAGGCCTGGGGGAGGGGAGGCCGGGGGCGGGGGAGGGGGGGGGCGGCCATCAGCTGCGCTGCTCCAGATACGCGGACAGGAGCAGCCCCGGTGGCAGGAAGTCCAGGTGGCGGTTGCTGACTTTCATCTGCCTCTTGCCCTCCAGGTCGGCACCTGTAAGGGGCAGGGGGCGCAACGTTGAGGGCAGCATGGGGGAAGGGCACACGAGGTCACCGCCTCCATCCCTGCCCTCACGGGGGGGTGGCGGGGTGGGGGTGGGGGGCTGCTTCCGCATCAGGGCTCGAGTGGCCCAACCCCCACCCGCTCCACCTCCCTTCACTCCCGAACCTGAACCAGCCATGCACACCCGAGCTCATTCCATCTCCCCTCCTCCCATTTTGCCAGGGCCCCTGCTCCTCCGTGTCCGGGCCGTGGCCCAACTCCTGCGGGGAAGCACCCCAGGACGGGGTAGCACCCCCAGGCCTGCCCCTCGGTCCCGAGTCTGTGGGAACAAAGGCAAGGGAGCGTGGGAGGGGCCGTCCCTGAGTTGCCATGGAAACCGTCACCTCAGCAACTCCGGGCAGGAGGCGGAGCAGAGGAGTAAGGAGGCGGCGCACCCAGAGGCAGTGAGGACTCTCCCTGGGGCACTGTGTCCTGAGAACACCCCCGTGGTAAAAGCGGAGACCCAGGCCCCAGGAGGGGGACTCGCCGAAGCCAACTGGGTGGCATGGCGGAGGGGGGCTGCAGGGGAAGCTGCAGCTAAACAACCTTGCACCCAGCATGGAGCCAGACGCACAGGGAGCTTCCAAAGAACTCGAACTCGCACCAGAGCCTTTGCTCATGCTGCCCCTCCTCCTCCAGAAGCACCGCTCCCCCAGTACCCAGACCCTCTGTGACTCGGGCCTTGGTGTCCCCAGGGTGCATCAGCCAGGTGGGGCCCCGCGGGTCGGCAGCACTTACTGGCTGAGATGAGGTCCATGTACTGACAGATGGCGTGAAGCAGGAGTCTCTCGAAACTGGAGAGGAACGGAAGGTAAGCGGTGGCGAGCCAGAGCCAGTCCCTGGAGGGGCACATTGGGCTCATCCCCACCCTGTCACCTGTTGTCCAGCATGGCCGTGTACACGGCCTGGGGAGACACAGAGAAAAACCTCAGCAGCCTCTCCTCCCAGGTCTCCAGAGTTTCCTGCAGGGGAAACAGGTCTAGGGGTGAGGCCAACCGTGAGGCTGGGGCCAAGCTGTCTACGCCCCATGCCCAGGGGAGCCTCTGGAGCCCAAAGCCCTGGGTTCAAACGTGGCTTCTGACCTGCTATATGAAGCTACATAACCCTTTCCGAAGATACCAGGCACTGAGATATCCCCATGCTTCTGCACCCCTGTGCCCTCCTCCTGGTGAACTCCTACACATCCCGCAGTACCCACTGTCATTGCCCCTGCCCCTCCCACCCTCATGGAAAGCCCATTCCCGGCCCAGTTCCTGCACTCTGATCACACTGGCCTGTGTACTGCCTTGTCTCCAACACCACCTGCACTGGGTAACGGACTACCCCTGACACCACCACCAATTGAGAAAGTGAGGAAAAAAAGGTAATTAAAAAAAAACAGGCAGGTGGAAAAGGAGGAGGCCTGGCCTGACATTCACCATGGGGATGCGGCTCCGCTTGAGGACAGTTCTCAGACGCCGGCTGATGCGCTGGAAGCACTCACGGGGTGTGTAGGCTGGGTCCTCTGCAAGAGTTCTGGGCTTGGGGCAGCGTCTAGAGCAAGCCCCTGGCCGGCCCCACACACCGGCTCCTCCACACCTGTCCCTGGGCACCGCCCACACACTAGGCTCCTCCCCTCCCCGGGCAACGCCCCCCC